TCTAGACCCTGTAGACCCTGAATATAAGACGACCGCGTTTTTTCAGATGTATTTCCAAGAAAAAAATATCGCGGGACAATAACTCATCCCCTTCATTTTTATTTTCCCCTCATATTCTTCTTTGTATCCCACTACCAGGATTCATTTTCCAAAACTCATAATCACTTGTGCTCCTGTGCATATCATCCTAAGATTCTGACTGGTGTGTCATCAGTTTTGCTACTGAATGTTCACACATGGATAAATGTACGCTGTTTGAGTTCATTTGTTGATGCTTGAGTTAATTATATTGTGTGTTTGTGTTTTCTGATTAAGAACATGGTTAAACCTGTGCAAAATGATGCCGTTTTTGTGTAGAGTTTTGGCAGATTGGTACGTGTGTGCAAACAGGTGAAATGTGTTAAAGGTTTTGAGAAGTGTGTCTTTGTTTCGAGAACTGTATAAATGGTTTGGAAAATTGGGCCAAATGAATCAGTTATAGTGTGTTAGCAATCGAGAAAAACTAATGCTAAAAAGTAATTCTCATCCGATATTTTCTTAAATATTTATGTTCACTTAAGACTGTTTTTACGTCGATACTCGTCAAGACAGCCATTCAGAGATAATTTTGTGCCAATTTGCTCAAGACGTGAAAAAGAACTCAATTTGGTATTTGCTTGCTGTCTGAGAGATGGCTTCCTTTTGTGCGCGCACAGAGACGATCTATGACAGCGCGTGAGTACAGCATTGAGATCTCTTTCATGCCGTCTTGTGCTTGAAAAGCTTAAAATCACTTAAATGTTTAAACTGACAAGCCAAAAAACACATGAGAATGATAAACTTAGAGGAAGCAGCACTGGCCCGATAGTTCAGACAGTTTTAGTGGGGCTGAAGCCCACCTACAAAGGGTCTAGAACCGCCCCTGTTGCTATTCACCATACAACTATATAATTTACAGAAAAAGAAAGATACAAAAAGAATGATTAGATGGAGATGGATGACATGTATAGCAGTATGCGGTAAGGAACATTCATATCCGGGAGATAAGTCAGTAAATTTGAGTAAAATCACAGGCTTCGCATATCCCGTGCAAATGTGCCACATGAAATTCAGATGTGGGGGGTAATTTCTAAATCACACGAGGTCCCCAGATAATACTAATCCTGTGCAAATAGGGCTTTAGTCAATGTCAGAGATCTTATACTGTGTAAGACTTTAATTACCCTTATGCCCTCAAAGGCTTTCTAGGGTACATGTTTGACTGTGGGCGTGAAACTTGTCAGTCAAGAACTCCGAAATTAAATGGTTTTTGAAATATGCTTTTAGATGAGTGTGTGTGTATGTGTGTGTGTGTGTGTGTGTGTGTGTGTCTGTGCTTGTAGGTGCTTTGTAAAGATGTAATTGGCATTAAACCAGTAGAAGACTGTTCGAAATTAGATTTGGCATCCTCTGTGGGCAAAGACAAGAGAAAAGTTTCAACAGAAAATGAATGACAGAAAAATTGTGCGGGTAGAGGGGTGGAAGGAGAGCTAAGAAAGAAAGAGAGGTGAAACCTGCTGGGTCACTGTAATGTAATAATGAATGTAACAGGCTCCATACAACTCATATGAAAGGTAAAATTCTCTGGTCAGTTTCCCTGCTCTTGCTGACCGGCTCTCGGCTCCTGTGGATTTTAGACATCACTAATTGGCTCAAGGGCATCTGGGTACCTGGATCATGGCTGATCAATACAGTCTAATCATTGAGCTTTGATGATTCCCTGATTAATGTGTGATTGGAAAGAGACCCCTGTTTGTCTGCTCTCATTTATTGATTTTGCTTTCGTTTTCTACACACAGAACAAGGAAAAGTTTTCAGTGTTAGGGTATGAGTGTGCATCTGTGCTAAGAGTAGAATAAGGCTGTCAGTCGATTATAATACTTAATCATAATTTTTCCGGGTATCATCATGCAATGAGCACTGGGTTCTCGAGACACCAACATTTTGCTCCATTCTGTGGCACTCTGTCTAGCTGTTGCTGAATGCAAATCTTCCATAATTAAAATAACAACAGCAAAATTCACTTTATGAATGTGACGTTAGCATGAATAGAGAAACTTTGACCTGTTCTGGCCTACAAAGACAAGTGTTCAAGCATTTACATGTTGTTGTTGTTTTTCCTATTTATTGTATTACTTCAGGGGTGTATTCCAGAGAGCACGGTTAACTTACCGTCAGCTAAACCCTGAACTTTCGGTTGATTAACCTCAAACTTTGCTTACTCGAGGTATGTGGTTCCAAAAACGCACCCGGGAGTAAGTTAATTCAACTCAGAGTATGTTCCTGGTTAAGACTCAAGACATTCTCAACAGAGCGACAAATCGACGAGTCACTATGGAAACGGACGTTAAGAAAAAGCGCGCCATGCTGTTTCTTTCTTCTTCTTTTGTTCAATGGTCGTTTACATGCTTAGTGCATATGCACTAAGCATATGCACTCTTTGCCTCTTTGCATATGCACTAAGCATGTAAACGACCATTGAACAAAAGAAGAAGAAAGAAACAGCATGGCACGCTTTTTCTTAATGTCCGTTTCCATAGTGACTCGTCGATTCGTTTTGTTTAATTGTTGTTAAACGTACCGTCTTAATATGCTTTGGTTAATTTTGCTCAAATTGAAACTACAACATCTCCAAAACCTCCTTTTGGGGATGTCGTCATTTGTAAAAAAAAAACTGTTAGGGGTTGGTTATAGTATTTAAAGCTAGCTTTATATAAATGTAAATGTGCATGTCTGTTTAATAAAGACTCTTCTATTCACAAATGTTTGTCTGGTAAGAGTACTTTATATGATGAGAGAATGACCTCAGCAAGAACTGGCGTAGTTGGTTATGTAATGCAATTATTTTGTACTAATATGTGTCTCAGCAGGCTGATTGCTGCATAAATAATGCAGGCATGCCGAGACTCACAACGCTCTACAGCACACTGCACTGAAGAACATTCCCATGAAATGAAAAATTAAAACATTAAAGCTTTATTAAAGTGTTGCTTTAATTGTAGCTGAAGCGGTTGATGTCCGTGCATGTGGTTAGGCTTTAGAGCCAGTGTGACCAGTAGGGTCCTGAGAGAGCGATTTGGCTGGCTCAGTCATTGCAGTTTCTTAAGCAGCTGCACGGGCTCTGATAACAACACAGCTATTTCATGATTCAGACTCATTGACGACAATGATGACGTGCATTTAATGTTTATTCGGACAGTTTCGGTTCCCCTAATGTAAGTTGTAAGTCTTGTTGATCAGTCAGGCAAGGCACAGCCAAAGTCAAACACACCTAACAGATACAGTAACAAATGTGTCATATACTGGAGGAGTGGTTTAATCTGTGGGAAAACAAATCCTTATAACCAGACCTGTTTGTTTATGAAAGCTACATGTCAGGTGAAAGAAGAGAAATGTCCAACTGTTTGGGGTGTTTTTTTGAAATAAAACAATACTTAATAGACTGAAATATTACAGACATTTTTTTTATTTAAAGCGTAAATTTTTATTTTTTTTTTCAACAGTAATATTATTATTATTATTTGTTTTGCTTTATTTAAAACACTTTTTTTTGACAATTAAAAAGAAAACAGTTTCCACAAAATTATTAAGAAGCACAACTGTTTTCAACTGTAATAATAAGAAGAAGAGTTTCTTGAGAATCAAAACATTAAATTAGAATTATTTCTGAAGGATCATGTGACACTGAAGACTGAAATAATTGCTGCTGAAAAATCAGTTTTGCCATCACAGGGATAAATTAAAACGGTTAAAAAAAATTCACAATAATTATATTTTTATTGTATCTTTGATCAAATAAATGCAGCCTTGGTGTATTAAGAGGATCATTTCAAAAACACTTAAAAATCCTAACAAAATCAAACTGTTGAACGGTAGTGTATGATGCATTGCCAATGATTGTATCTAAAAAATAGATTGTAAACCTAAAATACTCAGTTATGCACTCTGCTGTGTTCGGCTGCAGCTGAATAAAGTCATCTTTGTGAAATTTAATCTGTCATATACTTGTTATGTATTTATTCATCGCCTAATGATGTTACATATCGGCACATAACTCTCTTAATATACTGCAGTCATGCTCACTTTTTTTCAAAAAGAGTAGAGTTCTCACTAAGAGGTGTTGAAGTGGTGGTTTAATGTATTTGCAAAAACAAGACAAATGGTGGAGGGTGTTGTTATTATTTCTCATCATCATTTTCAGCCTGACCTATTCAAAATGCTTTCCGCAACCTGTGTGTCAACACTGTGCTCTATAACTGTATTGTTGTTATATTTACACTCATCTTCATTCTAGCAGTATTTCTCCTGATTTTTTCCTTCATCTCTATTTTTCTCTCATCATTCAACAGGTGTTTCGCAGTGGAGAGGGTATGGGTATTCGTCTGGACAGTGCTTCTGCATTTCAGGGGGCCATCATCTCCCCTCACTATGACTCACTGCTGGTTAAAGTCATAGCCAGTGGCAAAGACCTCCCCACCGCCGCAACCAAAATGCACAGAGCGCTCACTGAGTTCAGAGTTCGTGGTGTTAAGGTAGGTGTAAAACTGAATTGGCTGCTTTAATGGCACTTCTGAGCATCACGTGCAAGGTTGGCTAGTTATCACCTGTTTTAATGCTGTAAAAACATCCATTCAAAGGTAACTGTGTCTGGATGATAATGCTAATGTATAGGCTAGCTTTCTCCAGGAATTATAGACCTCCTTGGTACGGTTGCCATACGTTGAAATGTTGGAAGGGAATTTTCACCCAAATGTTTTGTTTTATCTTATATATTTTGTGTTGAATTTAGTGGTTTATGTTTACCTGTGTCAGCTGAGAACACATTTAGGCTTTGAGGCTCCCTGACTTCTAAAAATGTCTGTCAGACAAGCCCTTTGACAGTGTTGCTGTTTCAAAAATCCACAGAAGCTCAAGGGATCAGAGGTTTCTAAGACATAAAGGCACCTTTTGATAGAGATCTGAGACTGTCTCAACCGACAGTAGTCAAGCGCATACAGATATTATAGTGGAAAGGGTCTTTTTTGAAAGACTGTTGACTAATTATCAGGCCTGAAGGACAGAAAATAAAGTACATGACAATAGGTTTGTCTGTCCTAGGTTACACAACCACAGTCAGTCAAAACTTATTTGATGTGTAGTGTTCAGCTTGAAAAAAGTTTGCACACTCAAACATCAAAGCATCACAAGCGAGATGAGAACAATATAAGCAATTTACTGAATGAAACAAGGCAAACGTTTCGGTCACATGTTGACCATTTTCAATGCCAAGCTAACAGTGTTAGAACTAGAAGCCATCTTAAGTTGAGGAATCACATGATAATTAAAGAGATCACATGATTAATCAGGACACACACAGAGATCCCCCCAAAAAAATATAATAATAAAAAAACCACAATGTGTGTATATGTAGAGCAATGGATAATCTACATCAAATTAGTTCAGCAACAATTGGTCTGAGGTAGTGGTCAATAAAAATTGATAAAGGTTCAGTGAGAGATCCTATACAACTGACGATTGGACGTCCTGGGGGATTTTGAAGTGTCTTGTGTACTTTAGGCAACACATACAAAACAGGCCTCACTGGATATTTGCATGTTAAGAACTGCAGTTCCGTTTCGGTAATCATTTGATTGCTGAAAGCTGATGTAAGGAATCCATCAATTTCTTTCTTAAAGGACTGAGTAGGATCCACATTCAACTTAACATAGAATTCATCATTATTAATTTGGAGTTGCACTTCCTGATCGTAAGATTCCCTGGGTATTAAAACAATGCCACCCCCTTTATCTGCAGGCTTAACCACAACTTTGTTCATTTTCTATCCTTCTAATAGAGCTCCTGTGCTCGTTGATACGGGTCTTTAATTGACGATTAGTCTTGCCAATATATTGTAGACCACATGGGCATTAAGTAAGATAAATAACAAAAGATGATGAACAAGTGATAGTCTCTCTAATTTTGAATGTTTTCTGAGTGGTGGTGCTAGTGAAAGAATCCGTTTTAATCGCATTTTCACAAGCTGAACAAATCCTGCATAGGAAGAAGCCAGTGGAATGATCCAAAGTCACATATTTGTTCTCCTTAATGAAGGTATCAGAACTGACTAGATGATCTCTTATGTTACGTCCCCTATAATATGAAAAAAGGGGAGGCTCCTTGAAGATTCTATATCCAATATCATCAGCTCTCA